ACAAAAAAAATAAGTAATTAAATTTTTTTTTTGTACATGACTAATGATGTGCCGGTCTGACAGAACGAGGGCTCAGAAAAGAAGAGACACAGCAAAGCAGGGACAGGGAGGTGCAGGAGCAGCAGGGAGGTGCAGGAGCAGCAGGGAGGTGCAGGAGCAGCAGGGAGGTGCAGGAGCAGCTGGGAGGTGCAGGAGCCGCAGGGAGGTTCCGGTGCCTCCTTCAAGAGTTAGAATAGAAGTAAACTTTGTGTGCAAACGTTCCTGCCTTCCATATTTACCTAATTGATCTTCCTCTTGTTAAAAGTAAGGTCACTGAAACGGAGAGCCTCTGCGGTTTGAAAATTGCATTTTTCTAGATTGCGATTATATTGCAGATGCAGCTGTTTTCACGTCCTGCGATCAGCAGCAGTTTCCTGCTCGTTCAGCTGCATACCCGAAGGCCGACGTCTGACTGGTTGATTTCTTTTCTTTTTCAGGGCGTTTTAGTTCTTGGCAGTCATGGACGGCGGGTCAGCAGAACCTGTAGGGGAGGCTGACGCTCCTCTGAAAGACTTCCCAACCATCCAGACGGTTCACAGCCAGGACGCCATGGTGGTGGATCTCCTTCAGCAGGCAGCGGAGGCAGGCGGCGTGGTCCAAGGACAGACCACTGTGGTTCTGGACCAAGGTTCTGCCTTAGAGCTTCTAGAGTCATAGGAAGTGTGTTTCTGTCGCCTGCAGCCAATCAGAACGGATGTTGTTTTCCAGGTCACGTAGAAGGGATGGTGGCAGCCGCCCAGTCCCAGCAGGCGCTGCTGGGCGCCGGCGTGGGGGTCAGCGTCCAACGTGGAGAGGTTGAGATGATGGTCATGGACTCCCTGGATCCCACGCTGATGCAGATGAAAACCGAGGTAAGCTGCAGCTTCTGCAGGTTCGTTCAGCTTCCAGAACCTTCCAGACCGAAGCCCAATGAGCCGTTTCATTCCAGGTCATGGAAGCTGCTGTGGGGGGGTCATCAGCCACAGCTCATCATCAGGCTGCCGTGACGACGGTGGACCAGACTCAGATCATCACCCTGCAGGTGGGCGCCTCCGGACTGGCTGTCGGTGAGAACGTCGCCGCTCTCCTGCAGAAGGCCTGACTTCCTGTTTCTCCCGGCTTCAGGTGGTCAACATGGAGGAGCAGGCAGCTCTGGGTCTGGGGGAGCTGCAGCTGGTCCAGGTGCCCGTTTCCGCCGCTACGGTGGACGCTCTGCAGCAAGGCACGTTTGTGGAGGCCACCGCCATGTCGAAGACTGGAGACCCGGTCATCTGCCACACACTGCCGCTTCCTGAGGGCTTCCAGGTACGTGGATCTGCAGAGGGAGTGCTAGGTTCATTAGAGCTTTTTCTCCAGGGTGATTCTGTGGAGCAAACCAGCAGGTTCTGTTTTTTATTACAACAGAACCCTGAAAGAAAGACGAGATCATTTCCAATCATGCATCAGAGCCTTGATCCCTGCCTTCCTGCCTCATTTGGTAGCCTCAGTCCCCTTCGGGGCGCAGCGGGTTGTGCTGAGCACACTTTTTTTTATCTGCAATCTGATTTTTTTCCATGTCCAAGTGACTGCTTATAGAGAGGCTCCGACTAGACAGGATGAGCAGATTTTATTCACTTCTGTCTCTGTGTTATAAACACAATAAAACTATTTCCCACATTTGACTGGAACACATTATGAAATCTTAAAAAAACAAATAAAAAAACAGCGATGCATTCTGTAAAGCAAAGCTCTACTTAACTAGTCTGTGCAGCATCTAGACCTAGAACAGATAGAGAATGTTAATCTAGTAAAAACATAATGAGATCTATGTCTAAAGAAAAGACAAACGCAGCAATGAATGGCGTGGGACGGTTTCCACGGTGACTGAGACAGAGAGGTGATTCTCAGAGAGATCTGGGAAGTTTTTCC